TAGTTCTGCTTCAGCCGAACCAGGACAAAATATCAATGATAAATGAAGTTACAAAGTTGTTCAGTGATTTAATCGAAATTTCTGGAAGTCAAAGATCAGGAAAAGAGAAGTGTGCAACTAGCAATGCCAGAACAGTTTCCATGAATAGTCACTTTGATCTATCAGTCCTGATTCTGAAGGGACTACTGGTTGCTTTTCAGAGATGAGTTTGGGAGCTAAAGTTTATAACTCTGCTGGACCCCCAAAAGCTATGGACTTGCACTGATTCTTTGGCACATGATAATCTTTCCTCCCTTTCTGTCCCACGTAACTGCTCCCCAGCTTATAAATGATCTACCTCTTTCTTTCCTGTAGACAAAGCCACTTTATTATCCTCTTCTCTCAGTAAAGTCTCCTCTACTGAACAGCTACCAAATCCTTTTTCTTTCAGAGGTGGTCTGACCGATATATTTCTAATTAAACTCTCAGCAGTTCATCTCAGCTTGTTTTTATCTTGGAAATAATGAGCTGCTTGTGTGCCCCCAAATTTCTTATTTTTCTTGTTATATTAGTTTAGCCTATTAAGAGAGAGTACCTGTGCCTGTGAGCTTTGGGGTGCAGATCTTGGGGCCTGTTGTTACAACAACGCTGCCACCAAGAAGTTTAACTATTATTTCCACTCACAGTGGAAGACATTAGGGGATAAAGTAGTGAGGTGCAATGCCCTGCAGATCATCTTTCATCTTCTGGGAAGGCAGTTCATCGTACTGTTGAAAAGATTTTTAAACAAAAATTATGCCAATATGTGGAAAGGCAACAGCTGTTTCAGTGCTCTTTACTTAAATGTAGATGAATTTCAGTCTATCCACCAATAACAAAACATGTAATCAGTGTGGATCTCGCTATAGATGTTTATGTATCACACGTCTGAGGTGATTTTGGGGAAATCAGTGTCTGTTGGGAGTACACAAACACATATCGATCCACATTGGCTGCAAAAGCTTAAACAGCCTACTTTGGTGGTGTAATCAACAACATAAATGCTGAAAATTTAACATCTGTATCCATTGTGGAAATGCTTATGCCCTCCCATTAGGATCATGCTGTCTAAACTTAGAAATAGCTGATGTAAAAATGCAGTCATGTTACACTGATCAGATTTACAAAAGTTACCCATGAGTGGTGGGATTGTACAAGCTGTACAAGCTTAAAGAAAGGAAAAGAAAAACTGAATAACAAATTACAGGGTGATGTAATTTAAATAAATGCAGACAATGCGCTAGAGAGGGAAGACCATTCTGAAACACAAATGGCCAATAACAGAATATAAGGAAATTTGGGACAAAAAATTGAAATGAGTTCACGATGCTCTTCAGAGACCTCTCAAATTTGTGTCATGCTACATTACTTCTAGTCAATTCAACACAGGGCTAAGGAGGTAGTACATTCTGGGATAGGGTAGAGTAGTGGAAGAACATTACCAGTGAAATCAGTTTTATCTGTTTAATCTGCATCTCTTCCATTAACTAGAAAAGTTCCATTTATGCCATAGCACAGAAGCAAAATGGTAGTTAGGCAGGAACCGTTGTCATTCTCCCATCTTACCTTGTTACCCAGCTCAACCTTTTTCTTATATTTTTCTTGTAGCAACCTGACTGACAAAAGGTATTTTAAGTTAAGTTAAACTCTGAATTCAGGAATCCAGAAGAAAAATCACCTAAGACTTCTTTTTAGATCATATAATGCAAACATCGAAATGTGTGAAGTGATATGTAGATTGAGGAATTTAAGAGATGAGGTACATTAATTTGTTTGGGAGAAGACTGATACACATACATGTATATTCTTATTCCTCATTTTAATTTGTCTATTTTCCTCTTTTTCATGCCTCCAAATGTATTAAATATTTGCAAAATATTTAATAAATTTGAATCATTTGACTCATGTTATGTAATAACAAGTTTAAGGGTTGACTGGAAACTTTCATTCCTGTGCAGCAAGGGGTTTAAACGCACCCAAAACTTAGTTTATTCTTGCTACGTATTTCTGGTTAATCCAGCATGAAGTGCTACTTTAGATTAGCATCTGATATACTTTGAAAAACTTTAATTGAGGCTTTATTTATTTAATTAAATATCTGAATAAAAAAGACCTGTTTTCAGAGTCAAAATAATTTCAGCTTTTATAAAAAGAATAATTATAATGCTTGTATATAGTATTGCTTTATAAGAAATCTTTCTTATTCCAAAATTACAGGCTTAATAAATGTATTTTTCTTGATGAATTTGAAAGGACAGACTCTCACCTGGGATAGATCAGTATTGCTCCGATTATTTCAATAACAGTCAAACAGAAGCTTCTAGTTGTGACTACATGCTCTGCAGAAATGACATGCAACTTAAGTAATAATGAAGTATCATATGTAGGTAAACGCTTTGTTTGTTTGTTTTTTAACTGAAATGATTGTATCATTAACTACAGCAAAAACTGGAGATGAACAAAAGACCTCCATCTGGGACTTCATCTACATCTAAAAGCACATCACCAACTCTCACACCTTCCCCATCACCCTCCCCGTCTCCTAAGGTTCACAACGCAGAGTCCTCTCTCTCTTCTTCTCACAGACAGGCCAAGAGCAATGGTTCCAGCAGTGGTACTATTACAGAAGATGGTGAGTAGATCATTGTAATTATAGGAGATTCATTCATTAAGAGCACTTAATACGCATGCTTATATTAATCATACACACAGTATTCATTATTAAGAGCGCTTAATACACACACGTTCATTCATTCATTGTTTAAAACTATAACTGTACTGGATTAGTGTGTATCTACATGAGAGTGAGAACATTTTCTTTTTAGAAAAAATATTGTGGTGTTTCTTACTGCC